ACTCTGCACACATATACCGCGAACCGACACTTCGTGCTGCCATGGGGTCCGCCGCACGCAGCACATTGTTGTGCTCCGTCCTCTGCTTTTCCTTGCTGCCGTTGCCACCTCGACGCCGTAGGTGCCGTCCTCCCTGGCCGACCGCGTCCGTTGCCACGTCGAGTCGCTGCCATCGCCTGGCACTCAGCCGTGCTCGAGCTGCCCGACGATTCACCTTGCCCGTATCCTTCCACAGCCGCTGCATCCTTCTCCGCCGCCTCCATGTTCACTGCCAAGCTATACGCTTTCTCATATTCCAACGTGCCTTCTGCGAATAGTCGTTGCTTTATAGTTTCACTTAGAATACCGCACACCAGCTGATCTCTTAAACTTTCTTCCAACCATTGACCAAATTCACAAGATTTCGACATTCTCTTCAATATTGCTGCATACTCCGCTATTGTTTCACAACTTTTTTGTTTTCTATGCTGAAATTTATATCTTTCTGCGAGGACACTTGGTTTCGGTTGGAGATGTTTTTTCTAGAATGTTTTTTTTCCAATCGACATTTTAAATAAATACTTGTCGTTTACAAATACTTTTCCAAGAGTTCGTTGCTATCCTCGTCGCCACTGAGATATACTGGATAACTCGGTATTTATATAATAAAACACGGTGTGACTTCATAACATGTATTGAGCGACTGGCTAGTGAAGACGCGCGGTGGCGCCTACCTACATAGTACAATATTAATCTATACCTACATATATCACAATATATGTAGGTATAGATTAATATTATATAAGCAATGAAATCTAAATAAATAAAAATATAACAACCAATCAGATGGAATTTTAAGGGTAGCGGGATCTGAGGCAAGATCTTACTGTTGGCCGACCACGCGTAGTTGGGGGCCTAAGTAGCGCGCCAGCCACGAATTAAAGGCTGCCCCGCCAGCTTGCTATAAATTCCGAAATGCACCACGGTGCCAGTTAACGACTAGATGCAAGGACTCGGTGGCGATTTCAGGGGGATTCGGGCGTGCCGTCTCACAATGAGCTTCCCATCGGTTAGCTAAGCTCTTGAGTTCTCAGTTGGTATACAGAGCGTTGCCTCGATTTCTCAACTTTTGCCACTTAAAATACGTATCAATATGAAAAATGTTTAAAAGAAGAATATGGTAAAACAGCGGCAGCACGTCCCCTCCTGCTTAAAGTACACTTTACGAGCATGAGAGGGTTGCACTCTAACCTTCATCAGGCCAACCACCACCCCGAGACCGAGAAACTATTTTTCCGAGAGGAGGCGCAGAAAGTAACTCCGTTGGATGTGGCGTTCATCAACTATACGCTTGGACATAAATTCAAACAGCGCGCTGAGGTCTGTGTGTACTCCCGCGATGACATTTGCTGTCGGCGTCTCCGTTGCTTTGTTTCAGGGTTTGCAGCGATGTGGCATTTGGTGGACACTGGTGTGAAAACAAGCCTCTATAACTGTGTCTATCGACCAAGAGACAACAAGGCTCATTGAACACCTGACAGAGATGCCAGCTAAAACCCAACAACAGTATCCATCTGCGGAGCTAGATTTTCTCGTGAACTTTAACACTCACCACAAGGAGTGGTTCACACCACGAGAAAACAGACCATGCTGGGAGAAAGGCGCCCAAACTTGCGTTATTGCTAGATCTCACTCACCTGGTTCAACTAGCGACGCGGGTACTAGATCTAGCTGAATATACACCCAAACCGGACATCACCAGCGTCAGTTCTTCTATGGCAGCCCCACCTCGAGTTAGGAATACGCAAATCAAGAGACGCGCCTTCCTCCGCGGCCTCAAACGGCACCGGCGTAACTGACTCTACTAAGTCCGATACGCAGATGCCATGGGGTCAAGAAAAAATCAACACTCAAAATCTCCAGCTTTCCCTTATTTATTTACTTATATTTGAATGAATATTTATCATTATTTTCATATATTTATAGAATTTAACCATATGAGAAAAATTATTTATATTTTAATGAATATTCATCATTATTTTTATATATTCATGGAATTTTTTTACCAACAATATTAACACAATAAAAATAGTGTTTATTTATCGTTTTCTTTTATATACGAGTATTTATACAGCCTAACTAGATGAAAATTCTGTATTGATGCCCCAAATAATAACATATGCATTAGGTAAGGCAATAACAGCCCAAGGATTATGCGTACCGTCATGATAGCTTTTTTATTTCAAAATTGTAGAACGTGAAAACCACTTACCTTAATAATTCTTATCAATAGCTCTATGTTATTTGACTTAATTACTTTAGCGCTGAAAGCATTATTGTGATATTAATACAATGTAGTTTAACATAGTCTTTACGTGCGAGCATTCTTGTTACCAACAAGAAATATGAAATTTGAAAAAAATAGAAAAAAATCGAATTTACGATCGGAAAGAAATATTTCCATCGACATTTTACCTGACAATCATCTTCAATGCGATTTACAAACAATAATTTTGCCTTTAATACTAATTCAGTACTTATTATTCATGCCAAAATATTCTATTCGATACAATTTTATAATTTCTAACACTAAGACCACTAATATCATGTTGTGTTTTTATAACAGTGTAATTGTTATAGTATGTATTTATAGCGTTGTTGAATTTTTAAAGGAAGTTATTAAACATTTTTTTTTCATTGCTATATTATCTTTTATGGATTATTTCGTACAATGCTTTGCATTTATTTGTTATATTGTGTTAACTGTTTTACATAGTAAAACAAACGTGGATCTTGTAACTAAGATTCAAAAAATACAAAATTGTTTTGGGTCAAGAAAGAAAATTAACAAATCGATTACTATTGGAAACTGGATATGTGGAACAATCATTCTGTTGTATTATTTAATGCTCATGTACATTGAAATGGCTTATATCTTCAAGGCATATTTTGTAATCATATCGAAAAGTATTATGACGCTAACCGCAGATATGCATCTTATTTATTCGTGTCGAATGATAAAATTATTAAAAACAAATATTGTTTCGTGGGGTTGCGATTTCAAACAAACTTCCCAATTAAATAAAAACAGACGTAACGAAAAGATAATAAATGCACCGTGGCGAGCATTGCAAGAAGCATATTTGGCAATACTTGACGCTTATGGCATTATTGAAAAAATTATTGAGATTCCAGTAAGATATATTTTAGTTTAAACTAACATAATGCCGTGTAAGAATATCCACTTTCCCATCCCTTCCCACGGTCGTCTTAAAAGGCCACAGAGGGAAGTGAAACATGAGAGCGCCAGCAGCTTCTTCCTGATAACAGTTCAAAATAATCAAAAACTGCGTTCGCCAATCCATCTGTCAAACGTGGCAACTATGAAAAGGGAGGCCTAAGTTAATTAATTGACTTTTGATAAGTTGAAATAATAACGATGATTATGATGATGTATATAATATTGAAGAACTATTCATTTGAATATTCAGGTAATAATCTACGCTTTTGCTGCCTTTGCGGAATGTTTACTATGTGTACAAGTTTCAATCATGGTAAGTACAAAACCTTGAAATACGATACATTTTAAATAATATGCTAATATACCTATGTTTTTCTAGGTTTACTACATTGAAGCAGTATTAATTTTTAATATTATTAAGATATTAAAAAATTCAATATTATTAACGTTAATAAGTTTTGAGTGTGAAAGTGTTTTCTTATTACTGAAAAATACTCAAATTATGTGTATTTTAACACGTAATGATACTAACAATGGTAAGTGGAATATTATTTCACTAAAAGTGTCTTTGTTTTTGACAAACCTGTCCCCGAAGTACAGTTCCACGCTAAAATATGATAAATGAAGTTCAGTACAGAAGTCGAAGGCTTTTTCGAAATCTGTGTTGATCTCGTCCATCTGGCTCCCACTCTCACTGATAATCTCTGTGACAAAATGTGTTAAGTTACTAATGGTTGATCACCCTTTGAGGATACCGTGCTGAGATTCCGGTAAACCTCAACTTATGGTAGGGCAAATTTAATTAAAGACTAATTTTTCAAATATTTTCGCAAATATATTAAGTATAGATATTGGCCTATAATTCTCAAATTTTATACGGGTTCCTTTGATTAAAACTAACTTTACGGATTCTATCGCGTTTAATTTTAATTATTTTTAATTGCCGACGTTTTAGGTGCTTTCCAGCATCCATGGTCACGGGGGACTAAGATGACTGACGTCCCGATGTCATTAAACCCGGAGTACCTTGGCTTTTTTAATTATTATTTATTTATTGACTATAATTATAGTTATTATATTAACCTTCAACTACCGACCTATACGTCTCATAGACGTCATAACTTTTAATTTTGAAAAATTTCTAAAATCACGCCACCTTCAGCGTCGCCCTTCCTGCTACCTTCCTCCCTCCGCGTCACAAGCCATCAGTGGACGCTGCGCCCGCGGCGAGTGCACACGTCTCCGTATTGATCGCGATCAATGTCTCACAGACGTAAGTACGGTGTTTATTTACTAAATTTCGTACGTCTCTTGATCGTCACCTCGGTATTCATGTGTGGTAGCTTATAGTGTCTGATTGACGTCACATCGGCTTTAAAATTATACTTTTAATTGCAGAATGCCTAAAAGGAGAAATATCACGTCTAGTGAGCGGAAAAAACCTGCAACTTATGACGGTTCAGTTCCCGAGAAGCCGCCGAAACTGCAAAAACAGAATAGGCGTTTAGAAGATAAAGAAACATGTGAAAATCTCATAAACGAGAGTGACGTCAACTGAAGTGATTTTGACGACGATGTAGGCGATCCTGATTTTATTTTAGAGAGCGATCACAACACGGAATTCGAACAATCCGATGAGGATGATGTTGAGGTCGCGTATCCCCATGTTGAGGAAGTTTAACATGGAGAAATAAACCATAATCACGACAATGAAGAACAATAAAGAGAAGTACGATCTCATGGAAACCAGGACATTACACAACAGATCGAAGAAGAGACAATGGTCAGAGAGGAACAGCATGGCGCAGCAGAGACTAGAATTGAAGAGATTGGAGAGGAGCAGTATAGCGAAGTAGAGACGCGAAATGACCAGGGTAGTGAAGATCTTAGAACAGACCAGGAGCCAAATGAAGAATCAACAGGAGAGCTGCCGCTCTACTTTTACGGGAAGAATAGGTACAAATGGGCATCGGCGGAACCATCCCGAACAAGTCAAATACGCGCGCACAATATTGTAAATACACCATCTCAAGTAATTACGATTGAATTTGAATCTTTCACGGAATTATGGAAACTGATGTTTAGTGATCACATGATTGAAATGATGATTAAATGATATGATCAATGAAACTAGATAGCTATAGGGCTAAGTATAAAGACAGTAGCAGATCTGAACTAGGCTCAACGAATGAGACAGAAATAAAGGCTTTACTTGAGCTATTGTTTTATACATCAGTAATCCAAAATAAAACAAATTCTGCCTACAAATATGCATTGACTGCAAACGTACGTAGTGAATGTACCAAATATTCGAGGGCTGTCATTATTTTTATTTTTTAACTAAGAAGTAAGATTTACATTTTAATTTGATAATAGTTTATAGAAGATAACATATTTTAAGTTCATTTGTTGTTAATTACTTTGTTCAGATCACTGAACGATATTTAGGTGAGAGAAGCGGTAAAACCGGTTTGCGGGCGGCCGCGATCGACCTGAGCATGAGCGAACGAACCTGGCACCGACAGTACGCGTGGACGCTCATATAATATCATTTCAATTAAAACCTACTGTAACGTTAAGTTCTCTATTATACCAGTTTTATATAAATTTGCAGTAATTTTATTTAGTACTACAACATCGAGAACAAACAACTTAATTTTAGAGAAAAACGAGACTGAAGTAAGTCCTTAAAATTTAGTGCCAAATAATTGTGATCTCTCGAATAAATGTTGATTTTGCCTGAAAAATAGCGTGTATTTTTTTTAATCTGTAGTTTGTTACTCAAACACCAATCTTTTTAATGTATAAAATAGAAAAATTTAGCACGCAAATACACATTTTATTTCAGTACTTAAAGTTTGACGTCTCTCAGTCATCACGTCGGCGTAAGTGCTACGTTTAGACCAGGTCGGCAGTTAAATGTTAAATTAAAACTAAACCCAAGCATACCACTGCAAGACATCAAGACACAGTCAGTTCATTTTGCATAGATCGGACCATAAACAATAATTAAAATAGCTGAACGTACTCTGGGCTTAACAATGTCATCAGGACGTCAGTCATCCTCATTCCCACAAGACCATGGGTGCTGGAAAGCACCCGAAACGTCGGGAATTAAAAATAATTAAAATTAAGCATGATAAAATCCGTAAAAGTAGTTTTACTCAATGTGTAGTGTTCGCGTAAATATAGTAAATCATTACGGGTTCATTTTTTAAATATGGGTACTACATGAGCTTCTTTCCAGATGTATGGAAAATAACCTTCCTGAAGAGATCTATTGAATCAAACGTGAAGGGGCTCAGACAATGACTGAACACATTTGAATATAAATATAGGTGGAATTTTGTCACTGATCCGTTCCCTTTTTTACATCTACTTGCTGTAGCGCTTTAAAAATCTCTGCCTTAGAAACATGAAAGCAATGTAAATGTCGGTTGTTGCTACTAGAAGATATAGGTAATGCAACATCCCAATATGAAGTAGAAGCCGGGATAAAAACACTTTTGAAAAATGAGTTGAAGGCTTCCACAATTGCGGGGCATTCGCTATACGATGTATTATTATACAAGATATTATTTGGATGAGAAGAAGTATTACCACGTTTTGATATGATAAAAGACCAAAAACATTTAGGATATTTAGTATGGCTTATCGAGTAGTGTCTAAATATTTATAATAACACTGTTTATTATAAACTGATGCACGCACTCAATAAAGAGAACATGTTGTAATCCGCTAAGTTATAAAATTTGTTCCAATTTTTGTGAGCTTTAGCTCTTTCCTTTAAGATTTAATCAATATTTTATTATACCACGGTAGTTTACCACTTTTCGTGTTGTGAGATAGATATATTACATTTGGTACATATTTGTCTATGCAATAATTAAGTTGTTTGTAAGGGAAACCTACAGCTTCTTCAACATGATGTCCAGTGTATAAATGAGTGGCCCAGATGATTTCACATAAATATATGTTTATTTTAACAAAATCGGTTAAATAAAACTTACTTTTCTTGATTAAAACTACTTTTACGGATTTTATCGCGTTTTATTTATATTAATTTTAATACCCGACGTTTCGGGTGCTTTCCAGCACCCATGGTCACGGGGGACTGAGGTGACTGACGTCCCGATGTCAAAGTTAACCCGGAGTACCTTCAGCTTTTTAATTATTGTCTTTGGTCCGATCTACGCATAATGAACTAACTGTATTTTGAAGTCTTGCAGTGGTATGCTTGGGTTTAGTTTTAATTTTATTAATTATAGGATCCCAAGCAGGTGGTAGTACCCAGCCTCCTTCTCTATTGAAAACAGGATGTTTTTTTAATTTCAATAGCTTCACGTATCATCCTTGGTAGGAATCGATGTTCTTTCGCGAGGATTTGTGGTCTATCAAATCTGATGTAATGGTTGGGGCCATCTAGAATATGATCGCAAACTGCAGACTTCCCGGAACGTTGATGCTTCACGTCAGCTATGTGTTCTTTTACGCGGGTTCTAATTGATCTCTTTGTTTGCCCTATATATGGGAGACCACAATCACAATCAAGCTTGTACACTCCTGCATCTTGTAGAGGAATATGACACTTGACGGATGGTAAGAACTGACTAATCTTCTTCGGCGGCTTGTAGAATGTTCTAATAGAAGCTCGCTTCAAGATGTAGCCAATCTTATCTGTGACACCTCTGATATATGGTAGTATAGCAGGCACACGCTCGACTGTGGCAGGCTTCACTCGGTCACTGTGACGTACGCGGGACCCGCTTGCAGCTGCTTGACGTGCTGAAGCTCGGCGGCCAGGTGTTTGCTGTCACAGATCCCTCGTGCTCTCTGAAACAAAGATTTGCCCACAGTAGCTAACTGTGAAGGATGATGGTGAGGTTCACCATTTAAGTATCGGTTTGTATGGGTCTTTTTTCTATACACCGTATGACTTATGGTGTTGTTAGGATTTCGGATGACTAACACATCTAGGAAATCTAAGGAATTATTTGCCTCTTACTCCATAGTAAATTGAATTTTAGGGTTTATGGAATTAAGATGTTCTAAAAACTTACTTTTCTTAATAAAAGAACATTTGAGAGGAGAGATAGCCACATTTAATTCAAATTCAAAAGGTGTATGAAATGTATCTGTAGTAGTTAAGGGTTTGTCACTTAATATTATATCTATATCTATATTAGAGAAAATTAAGTCTAATGTGTTATTGCAACTGTTTCTTTTTATATAAGAGTATTGTCGCAAACCATGGAAGGCTATTTCGTTAATTAATTGCTCCCCTATAGTTTGTAGCTCAATAGAACCCTGTCTTATTATATTCTAGGTCCACTCTCATTCCAGGGTTAAATTAAAATCACTCGCTCTTATATAAAAGTCGCGTGAGATAACTGTTCTACAAAACGATTCCAAGAGCGATTTAATATCTCTTGCGTGCATTTCGTCCGTATGAAGATGCTTTGATGATTTACCCAGTATCTAGGTAGTTATGATATGCACTTTGAAATCGGTAAGAAAGGATTTCATCTCTTTCCTAAAATCGTTTAATTCTAATTTAATTGTTTCTTCTGGTTGTTTTCTATTTGATCCTCGGAGGGTAATATTAGGTACGTTGCTGTGTAACTTCGGTATCGCATTTTGCAATATTGGGCTGGGGACTAATCAAACCAACTTTAGCCACAAGCGGAGATCTTTGCGCATTCGTTGTATATCGTAAACCAGTATGATAAGGACTATGATGCGGTTGTATCGAGCGTCATGTGGGACAAAAAATATAAGAGCCCGTGCCCTTTACCCGAGGTTGTTAGGTGTGGGGATTCACTGACTGAGAAACACTGCTAAACAGTTCGTACAAATAATAATAAGCTTAAGTTCCACATCTTTACCTTAATTACTCAAACATTTATATTTGATTATTGTCACTTTAGATTAAATTAGATCGAAAGGAGACACGTCCACTCAGTATTAACACTTGAATTTTTAGTGAAACAACGTGCATTGAGAGCGAGAAGTTGATATTTAATGAAAATTTTCGTCCTTTTCGTATGTTATATCAAGGAGTCTGTACATGATAACTTGAGACAATACCATTTGTCGACATTACCCAGGTGTAAAAGTCTCTTTCGTATGTGGGTATACCACACAGATATATTTGGCGCATATTCATTGCATTTATTTTCTGCTTCAGATTGTGCACGCGATGTGTGTAAGCGACTACAACGAGCTGGGAGGGTGTCATGTCGACCACTTAGTGCGAAGGGCTTGTTTTTAGTGAATGCTAAACTACCACTGCAACTGTTTTCCGTAGTAGTTACCTACGTCGTTGTACTTTTACAATTTAATTTTTTGTAAGATTGTTGGCAATATAAAGCTTAAAATATTGTTGCTTTTCATTTGGATAACTTTAGAAAATATAAACCAAACCCATATCGTTATCGGAATCAATAAAATCACTGCACATGTGTAAGTTTACAAAGAATATCGGTTACCGACCGTCGGACATAAGCATAGCATGTGGGTAACACAGATTATAATGTTGAATTGGATTATCAATATACTAGTGATTCACCCCAGCTTCGCACTGGTGATTTCTAGATATTGACTACAGTACCACATAACAGGTCTTATTTTTAAACATATAGGGACCCATTCAAAACACCAAAAATTCATCAAATCGTCGAGCCGTTTTTAGTTTTATCGAGACTATCGGACACCAATTGATTTTTATATATAAGATATTAAATTTGGTCAAGCCGTTTTTGAGTTTTATCGAGACTAACGGACACCAATTGATTTTATATATAATATATTAAATTTGGTCAAGCCGATTTTGAGTTTTAGCGAGATTAACGGACACCAATTGATTTTATATATAAGATATTAAATTTGGTCGAGCCGTTTTTGAGTTTTAGCGAGACTAACGGACACCAATTGATTTTATATATAAGATATTAAATTTGGTCAAGCCGTTTTTGAGTTTTAGCGAGACTAACGGACACCAATTGATTTTTATATATAAGATATTAAATTTGGTCGAGCCGTTTTTGAGTTTTAGCGAGACTAACGGACACCAATTGATTTTATATATAAGATATTAAATTTGGTCAAGCCGATTTT